ATCTGCCGTGAGTGACCAACTTGATCTACCATATAAACCCTGTAATGATGTTCTGCCTCATCATATAGAGACCTAAAGCAAGGAGGCCAGGTGACCATGTACCAAGATCTCTGAAACGGTGATTCAAAAATGTATCATTTTTTCTCCTTTTAAAAATCTCATTCCTTTACAAATTTAGTTGTTTTTTATGTGTGCCAGTGTTTTACCGGCATGTATGTGGGTGCACAGAATGCCCACAGAGACCAGAAGCCTGATTCCCAGGAACTGGCATGGACAATTCTGAGCCTTCTTGTGGGTGTTGTGAACCAAACTCAGGTACTCTGCAAAAACAGCCACTGATCTTAATTGCTGAGCCTTTCTCTCTCTCTCTCTCTCTCTCTCTCTCTCCACATATGGATGGGGAGGGTCTCTCCTTTCACCATGTGGGTTCTGGGACTTGAATTCAGGGCATCAGGTTTGGCAGCAAGCACCTTTATATGCTGAGCCACCTCGCCAGTCCACATCTTTCTTTTCTTACGTGGTTTTGGGATATTTTTCAAATAGATGATAAACTCACTGACAGAGGTTCATTCTAATGTCATTAACATTACAAGAGACCAATCACATCATCCAAAGTCCTCTATCTGGGAAGGGAGACCTTCAATTTAATCCCTGGTGATATGATGGACATGTACATGCATGACCTTCATCCCACAAACCTATCACAACATGTCAAAGCAAATTCCAAACCAAAAAGTACCCTGTCCCTGAAGCAGTGGCACAGGCAGTGTTAACAGTAACTTATCTCTTCTTCCCTTGAGGCTGAGAAGAGAGAGCATGGATGTCCCTCAGGCCCCAGCACTGCATCTGCCCGCCCACATCAGGCAGTGACCAGAGAACACATATGCACTTGGAAGCACCCTCACTGCCCGTTCCTCCCTTCTCGTCCACTTGTTTCTTTGATTGGCATCGTTGCCCCTCTTGCAGATTTTTCTGTGTGTCTGTCAGGCTCACTTTCTTCTTACAGTTTGGCATGATTCTCAGGATTAGGTGAGTGTTGGCTGTTTGAGTGCGTTTTAATGGAACTAGGATTTGGAGAGAGAGGAGTGGAAGAAAAACCCTGTGCTCCATTGCCTAGGAGCCATGGATTGGGCACAAGAATGCTGCTCCTTGAGCAACCTCCCCTTTATAACTGAGGCCATGTCTACAGGATTTGTGTTAATGCTCCCTTGAATGGGTGTGTCCTGATGAAGACATGGAGAGTTACATAACTGAGTTAAGATTGGCCACTGTTAGCATTGTTCAGCCTACTACTGTGCCAGACCTACAGGACAGATAGGCAAGTTAAAGAGCATGGTTACGCTTGCAGGTATGTGTGCATGCCGGGGAACTCTTGTTAATTTTTATTCAACAGTCGTCTCTCATTCTCTTTATCTGACTTCTAATAATAAATACTTATGATATGAAATGCAACCTAATAAGAAAGATTTACTACTTTGTAAATACTTAGTAATATAGATACTTACTATCTAGATGAGTACTTAGTATTTAGTAAGATAGATACTATCTCCCAAATAGTGCATTTTGGGTAATATTTCATTTTATCATAAAGGACTCTGGGGTAGAGAGATGAACACATAAAAAATAAAAATAAAAAATAAAATATTTTTTTAAAAAAGAACATTTGTTGTTCTTGCAGAGGTCCTGAGTTCAGTTCCCAGCACCCACTTGACAGCTCAAAACTATCTGTACCTCCAGTTCCAAGGCTAGCCCAAGCTTTCTGCCACCCTCTTCAGTTTTGCACACATGTGGCAACTTATATACAGGCAGACAATACATTCATACACAGAAATATAAATACACAAAAATGGAAGAATAAAAAAAAATCAAGTGGTTCAAATAGCTTTCCAAACTCACATTGCTAGTAAGTTGTGGAACCAGCATTAAAGATAATTGGCTTTCTGTCTCCACAGCATACACACTGCACCAACATTTTATCAGAATGTTGTTAATACATCTGTACATTTTTCATAATTTTATAATCATATGTGACACATTTGATAAATTTAACACTAATTCCTTATTTCATATAATAGCTAATTCTGGAGTTCATATTTAAATTTTTTAATATGCCACACACTAATTTTCTTTCTCTATTAAGTTAAAATGTTAATTACATGCATTATTTATTTGTGTATGCTCATAGGCCACTATGTTTGTGTGGTGGTCAAAAATGAAGAAATCTAAACTAAGCATGGTGGAACACACCTGTAATTACAGCATTAAGACTGGAGGCAATCTGTGTTATAGATGGAGTTTAAGGCAAGAGTGGGCTTAGTGACACACTCTCTCTTTGACTTATCCTCACATGGATGGAGCTGGTAAAAGAAAGGAGCCAGGGGCTCCTCCCAACCCCATGGGACCCCTGAGGAACAAATCCTCTAACGACCTCAAGAGTAAAAACAAATCAGTTTATCTGGTCCAATTGTATGTCCTTAAACACCCAAAAGGGAAGTATAACCAAACATTAAAGGGGCCAACATAAT